GACACCAAGCTGCATCTGAAAACAATTTCTGTCCTCAGATAGCTTACAAAAGAGGTACCCAGATGAGTCAATTTTAAAATATATAAAGTCCATAAAAAAGTAAAAAAAAGAGGGACCAGGGAGAAGTGCTAATGATTCCAGTGATAAGGAAAGGTTACTTAAGTAGGAGGTGGCACTTAGCTGAGCCAGGAACAGAGCTGCAGATTTTCAAGAGGAATTAATAGTTGAATGTTTAAATAGTCTGAAGACCGAAATGTCAAACTTCGTTGTATCCAAATGAATACCTTCCATTTTTCAATACCCTAATTAGTTGAAAATAGAAGGCTAAGAAATAAGTAAAGCTTAGTATTTTAATTACCCTTCCTATGACATCAAAGAACCATCTATAAGATTTGAAATATCTTTTAAGCAACATATGAAAGCAACTTGTTGAAATCAATAATTGGGGCTATCTTACGAATCAGAGATTCTGAAGTATTGAACAGAACCTTAGGGGTCATTTTGTCCAACATAAACATCGCCAACATCCATGACAAGTGGTCATCCAGCCTCCATTTAATGTCTACTGAGAATTAAAGTCAGCATCTATGAATCTATAGTCTAGATCTAATCACCACCACTATCACTCCCCAAATTCCCACATCTCATTTCACAAATGAGTTACATGTCTTGTCCAGGTAGCAAGACTAGTAGAGCTGGAATTTGAACCTGGGTTTTCTTACACTTCAGGGTAGCTAGGTGGTGCAGTGCATTGAGCACTGGGCTTGGAAGACTCATCTTCATGAGTTCAAATCTGGCCTCCAACAGGTCCTAGCTATGTGACCCCAGGCAAGTCACTTAACCCTGTTTGCCTCAGGTGCTCATCTGTAAAATGTGCTGGAGAAGGAAATGGTAAACTACCCTAGAATCTTTGCCAAGAGAACCCCAAAAAGGGGCCAAAAAGAGTAAGACACAGCTGAACAACAACAACAAAGCCTCTTACACTTCTCCCTTAAAAGACAGTGAGTGGTACAGTGGACTTGGATTTAAAGGATTAAGTTCAAATCTCAATTCTGCCACTTATCACCTGACTGGGCAATTCAAGTCACAGGGTTTTGGTTTCTTTATTTATAAAGTGAAGATCTTGGGTCAGGTGATATGGTACCACAATGGAAAGAGCATTGGCTATGACTATGGTGTGGGAGAATCTGGCTTGAAATCCTGTCTTGGTTGGTGCTCTGAGTTCTCTCTAATCTCTAGATTTATGAGCCTATGACAAGGTACTTCTTAGTAACTGATAAAACCTATTCCACTGGAAAAAAAAAAAAGAAATGTCTATAAATTGATCAATGATCATAGGATCATAGACACAGAGTCAGAAGGGACCTTAGAGATACCTCAATCCTTACGAATGATGAAACTGGACTCAGAGAGGTTGTGACTTGTCCAAGGTCACAAGGTAGCGAGTGGCAGAGCCTGGATTTGAACTCAGATCCTCTCATTCCAAATCCAGCATACTTTCCTCTACAGTGATAACCTTAGGGCTCCTTTATACATACAATTAATGTGCTAACTACAAAGCATTTTTATCTCTCCATTATTTATTGCTTATCTATTTTTTTAAGCCACCGTTCTCTAGGGAACCAGTCTCTTATGTTGCCAGTTCTCTTTAAATGAATTAAGAAATTCAGTCCTGGTTATGAGTAGTAGGGTAGGACTGGTTTCTTGATGGAATCTCCTTGTTTTCTCTTTTCTCAAGTGGAAAAGCACTACACCTTGAGGACTGCTGTAGCCAAGGAGGCTGGTTCCCTCTCATTTTGCTTGATAAGATAATGGAATGAAGAGGCAGGGAAGTAGAGCAGGGAAAAGAGAGAAAGAGGAAAGGCCGGAGGATAATGTTTGACTAAGTTTATTCTCCTGTGCATATCATCACCTGATGCCAAAAGTACCTCTCCATTAGCCTTGAATGTGTGTGGGCACCTTTCTCTAGATGGGTATAATGGGTCTTTTATGTTGTTTTTTTTTTAACTCCAAAAATGCTTTGACCCTTCAATAGACATACAACATGTTCATAGCAGCCAGACCAAAGACAAAGTCTTCACCAGTGGTTTGGGTGACTTGGGCTAAATGTTCTCCACCCACACAGGAAGGAAGTTGAAAGAGCTCTGGGAGGTATGGGGAGCCAACGAGGCTGGAGGAAAGGGGTGGCAAGGAGGATGGGCAGAGCCTTTGGGGGTTTCTTGACACTCACTGCCCTGTTGCAATCTGCCAGTATTAGACAAGTGGTCACTGCAAACCTCTGGAGCTACTGTCATCTCACTGCACCCAGTCCCAGAACCCCAAGGCCATCTTGTATTCCCCTAAAAGAATGTAATCTCCTTGTGGGCCAGAACTGTGGGTTTTTGTTTTCGGATTTTTTGTTTGTTTGTTTGCTCCCTAGCACTTTGCACGTGGGAGGCAGCCTTTTGATGCATTCTTTGCTGAATTGAATACAGGAATATGAACTGTGGGGGCTAATGGTAGGATGAGAGTAGAGTTCCTCCTCAATGTCTCACCAATATCAAGAAGAGGGGGAAAGGAATAAGCATTTTTATATAGCACCTACTATGTGCCAGGTACTTTGCCAAGTGCTTTATGATAGGTGTTATTATTATCCTCTTTTTATGGTTGAGGTAACTGAGGTAAATAGCAGTTAAGTGACTTGGCCAGGGTCACATAGCTACTAAATGTCTGATACTAGATTTGAACTCAGGTCTCCCTGACTCCAGGCCTAGGACTCTACTCACTGTACTCCCTAGTTGCTTCATGAAGATAACCAGCAATATGTGAAAACTTTAATTCTATGGGCCTGAGGAACTCCTAGTATGGGAATGGCTGCAACTGACATAGATCATAACCCCTGAGCTTAGAAGTCCTAGGGAGTTGTTCAAGAACCAGAAAGGGTTCTTGCCTATGGTTACGCTGTTGGTAAGGTTCAGAGGCAGGTCTTCCTGTCTCCAAGTCTAGCATTCTTCCCACTACACCATATTGCCTCTCTAAGGGCTAAGTGCTTTGATAAAAACCAAAATCTAGTTATATCACAATTAACATCAAGGATAGTTCAAATTTTGGTAGGACTTCCTGCTAGGTGAGGTACTACCTACACAGGACTGAAGTTAGATGCCTTAGAGCATCTTAGGGCTTCTTAACTTGGAGAACCATGGACCTCCAGGGGGTCTGTGGACAGATTTCAGGGCATCTGAAAACTTAAAATGGGAAAAAATGACAACTTTGACAAAGAGGACCATAACACAAAACAGGTTAAGAATCCTTGCCTTATCATGGGTTGGAAAGTACTGCTTGTGGGCCTAATCCAGCCCCACTACCTACTTTTTACATCGCTGCCTTTTTTTTTTTAACCTAAGACTGACTTTAAATATTTTAACTACAATAAAACTTTACTGAAAAACGTAAAAACCATTCTTAGCTCGAAAGACCTATGAAAATTATCAGGGACCATAATTTGTAAGGTGTAGTTTTACCAACCCATATGGATAATCACATTCTAAAGAAATACGTGATGCAAAAGTCCTAAATGCCTGTCTCTTGTTCATACTCTGACTCTTTTCCTGTGACCCCCAAATACTGCCTCCCCGCACTCAAAATATTCTAAATCCTACTACTTGTTTAGAGAACCTTGTGAGATGAGGTTAAGGAGAGAGATTACCAGACACACCAAATGAGGAATTATCTTTTTCTCTTTCATTCCCCCCCCCCCCCCAATCTTGATATTGCTTTTCTATGGTGCTGGGGAAAGTGCATTGGATTGGATTTTGTTGCTGTTATTGTTTAATTGTTTTCAGTCCTGTATGATACTCCATGACCCCATTTGGGGCTTTCTTGGCAGAGATACTGGAGCGGTTTGCCATTTTCTTCTTTAGTTCATTTTACAGATGAGGAAACTGAGGCCAGAAGAATTAAGTGACTTGTTCAGAGTCATAGAACCAGTAGGTTATAGGATCATAAATTTAGGGCTAAAAGGGATGTTATAAGCCATCAAAGCTAACCTCTTCAATTTAAAGAAGGGTAACTATTTCTAACTAGGGTAACAGAAGTAATATAATCAGCAAAACACAAAAACAGAAACAAACCAAAAACAAATTAAAAAAAAAAAACACCCTGAGATGCAAACTTGGCAGCAGAGAAGAAACACTACTCTTTTCTCTGTTCCTCCCTGTTAACACAAGCAACATTGAACGTTTTACTATTGATTCCAACCCTGTAGTTCCCCCTGCCCCAATTTATTAATAGAGCAGAAAACTGCCCCAGAAATCTTGGACTTGAGGTTGTGGGGGATGGAGGAATATTGCTAAATCAAAATCATTCACTTGTGGGTCCTTGATCTCCATGAAGGAATTTCAGCATTGTGCCAATTTTCCTTACTCTAAATCACTTATGTTCCATACCAGAAGAAGGGGCTGGAGGCTAGTAGGGGATGGGGGTGGAGGGGACGGGATACAAGGGAGAATGGATTCAGACAATGACATCCATGAAATGTCACTGTACATTCTGAGAATGGCAGGAGTAGGGTACAAGGGTCTGCATATGTCATCATTGTCTGTCTGTCTCTCTCCCTCCAGGAAGGCAGTATGAGCATCTGACCCACACAGGGATTACCCATAGCAATTCCAACGCTGCCCTTACTTCACAACTCAGCACATTTCCAGGGTTCAACCTCATAAATTTATGTGAACATAAGACTAAGCAAGCAGTAACAAGGAACTAAAATCCACCGGGCCAAAATCATCTTGCAGCACCTTCCAAAGTCAAATAAGCAGGATTTTTGTATGACCCAGTGTTTGGGATCATTCAGGCCTTGTTCTTGCCCATTTACACAAATAACCAGGAGGCGGTTGTCCACATCACCTTGATGGCAGAATAATTAAATTACTTTTTGTTTGTGGGGCTTGATGAGGTTCTTTGGAAGCCATGACATATGAGAGAAAATTGAGTAAAAAACCTTTTAGCCTTAGGTCTCTTACCTCTGTGCCTGTTGGTGGTTTTATCAAACATCAGCATAGCATCCTCCACCTGAAAAACACAACACAGGACAGGCTCCACTTAGGACCTTTTCAAAAGAATCAAACAATAATTAAAAAAAAAAACCAATACACCAAATCTTTCCAATTTACACTAGGACCCTGACCTCCCTTCTAGCAACAAGGGGAGAGTTTCACGTTCACTTTGTGGACCAAACCCAGCTCAGCACAGCTTTGGTTTGATTCCAGCAGGCTGGGTTTCCTTTGCTCCAGACCTAACTCTTTCGGTAACTCCAAGGTCATCATTGAAATCATCACCCATCTACACTCTGTAGGCAGACTATCAGCCAGGTTAAGTGCACAAGGCTGCCAATTTCATCTATATTGTTATCAGTGCCACCTCCTTGAGTGAAGGACAAATACAAGGAAGGATGGAAAAATACAAGCTCCGCAACTTGTATGTGGACTGATGAACTGTTTTAGGTATATATGATTGGCCTAGTGCTATACTGTTGATTTTCTAATATAACCAGCTATCTATCTATGTCATGCTTCAATGTATAAATGCATGCACACATTTGTTTATCCTGGACCAATGACATCATGGGGTGGTGCTTTGATTCATGCATAAATTGGATTTAAGTGAGGCAGAGGTGCATAAAGTCACCAGCCTCATTTTCTCTTCCACAGTCACTGAAGTCCAGCAGTAAGACAAAAGTCGACAACTGGCGATGGCCCAGGATGCAGTGGATGACCTTGGTATCTTTAATGCCTAAGCTCTAAGCACTCCACGGTGCCTGCTTTTGGCACTTTCATGGCCATTGGGACAAACTGTTCTTATCCACCCATTCTACCACGGGAAGTCTTGACATGCTTAGGGTATATGTTTCAGGGCCCTCAGTTACCCTCAACCTGATTTAGCACGTCTACTAAGGTGGTTTACCAGAGTGTGGCTGCTGCACATGTTCTTGGAGCCACAGGTGAGAGTTGGGTGAAAGGTGGACACCAAAGGTGAATGAGCAGCTCTCACACTAGAGATACTAGTCCTCCTTGAGCACCCCATACACACACTCATATGCCATGATGCTGTAAGTTTAGAGTTTGAGATGAAGGCTTATCTCATCTTGATATGTGTGTAGAGCTATATACATGCAGATAGGCATACACACACACACACACACACACACACACAGTCATAGTGAAAGGAGAACCAGCTTTGGAATCAGGAAAAACTGGGTTCATTTGAACCCATTGCTGATACATATAGCCTATATGATTATGGGCAAATCACTTAACCTCTAATGCCCCCTGAAAACTCTTTTAGATAGAGATTCTTAACCTCTAGTCCACAGATTTTTTTTTCTAAAAGTTTTTGTATTTCAATATAATTGGTTTCCTCTGTAATCCTATGTATTTTATTTAATGCATTTAAAAATACTGTTCTGAAAAAGGATCCACAGGCTTCACCAGGCCACCAAAGGAGGTCATGACCCAAAAAAGGTTAACAGTCCTTGCAATAAGAATATGCTGTAGAAGAGTTATTGGTTTTCATTGGCTCCCAAATTCTTAGTGTAGCTTTAATGCATTCATGAGAATGGAAAAGACCCTTCACCATCCATTAGAGTGTAGAAACTATCAAATGAGCTTTTCCTTTGGTGATTGGGGGGGTGAGAGATAGGATTGGAATAGCAGTGGGCAGCCTATTGAGAGAAGTATCACATGTCCCATATCTACCATGGCTACTCTCTGATAGGGGGCAAAAAAAGGTGAGTGAATTTAAGGAAAGTGGCCTAACTGGATTTTAAAATCTTGCCTTTGGATTATCATATATCCATGACAGATACTTTCTAGGGGCTAGACTGGTTTGAAAAATCCTTTTGTGTGTGTGTGTGTGTGTGTGTGTGTGTGTGAAGGTCCCCTAGTTGCTCAGCAACCAAGACTGTATGTACAAACAGGTCCCCCTTTCGGGTACCATGCTCCAACCGTTGGTTCCCAGGGAAAATGAACGTGGCGATGACAGCCCCTCTCTAGTAGTGCTATCTGTCTGCTCCCAGAGGCAAACAGCCAACACAACAGTGCCATCTCCGGGCATAAGAACATCCCAGAGATCTAACAGAGTTCCCTACCCCTTTGCCATGGAACTCTCCCACCCCATCCTTCCCTTCAAGGGATAAGCCAGTTCCACCAGTCTGGCTTCCATGAGGATCTGGACACCACCTGAGACAATAGATATTCTGTGTTGCCATCTTCTACTCAATCCTAACTACAGTCAGTTCAACTGTCTACACAGAACAGGGACACCCATGTTTATGGCATCACAAAACAGATCGAGTCCTTATCAAATGTCAAAACTGAAGAGAAAGGGGAAGGATGGCAAAGGGAGGGTTGGCTGGAAGTGTCAAGCAGGTACATAGGGCACCTGTGCTGCCCTTATCTCTAGACTATTCAGAAAAACCAAGCCCTTATCTCAAACTCCAAACTCACAGCAGTAAGGCAAGCTAGCTGCTCTTGAGCAACTGAATTTCAGTGGCTGAAACCAAAAGCTGATCAGGGACCACTTAAAAACTGTCTTTTAAAAAATTCATCTTTTAAAGCATTTTTATTTAACAACACCACCACTTAAATTTGTCTTTAAAATCTCATTTAAAAATATAGTTTCTTTTTGACATTGCTACTTTAAGATTATCTTTTTAAATTCTTTTCTAAAAAAAGTTTCCTTCTGATGCTACCTAAAAATTGTCTTTTAAACTTATTTTTAAGTGAGTTTGATCTTCTTATAATATCATTTAAAATTATCTTCTTAAAATTATTTTTTAAAAGTGTGCTTTTCACAGCTTTTAACTGGTTACTTCTTTCCCTCCTTAAAGTTGGAACATTCTCTCTGTGCCCTTTTGATACTCTCCCCCACCCTGGTGAGTGTGTGGGGTTTAGGGATTTTCTTTCTTTCTTTTCTTCTTCTTCTTCTTTTTTTTTTAGGGCAGTCATTGTCACACAAGAATAGGACTCTTTCCTCTATAGTCCAGTTTGCACAATGGGACTCTCAAAGGCCTTCTGAATAGATAAAGTGCCGAAGCCAAAGAAAAATTCTATTAACACTTTGCAAAATAAAACATCTTGGTTAAGGAAGAGAGCAAGAAAATCAATATGGATAAAGCTCGGGTGCTTAGCAAAAAAAAAAAAAACCCAAAAAAACACAACAACTTTTCAGGGATTGCAAAACACTACTTATTAATTCAGCAAAGCCATCAATGCTATGGAAATCTGGCAGAAAAGCAACAACTGAATCTAGGAGAATTTGAATATACAAAGGCTGAATAGAGGGAAAGACACAGCTTCCTCAACAAGGCCTGTTTCTCACGGGTCTACGTGAATCAAACAGAAGCAGCTTGTGTGAGGCTCCATTAGGGGAAAATAAGCGAAGCTGGTCAAGGTAACTGGCACCAAACCCTGCCATGAGCAAACTGATCTCCCCTCCTGCTATCCTCTCTTTGAAACAAATGAAACCTCCAAACCAAAAGTATCCAAGCTTTGACTTGGAAACTTGATAATTTTCCAGGCCTGTTTTGGGGCTGGGAGTAGGAGAGAGGTTCTCTCCACTATCTTCACATACCTAAGCTTGTATCAAAGCCACATGGAAAAATAGAAATACTCTTTACTAAAAAAAAACAAAAAACCTTTTGTAGGCAAAGTAGATGGTTGCATGTAGTTACGGTCTATAAATTTGGGTCCAAGACTTGGTCAATGTAGGAGAGTCACCCAGAAGCTTCAGAGGGGCTATCTGGAAGCATGAGATATTTTTGTTTTTTTTGCTTTCTGAATCTTTCACTTTTATATCCCAGTCTTTCTGGATATGCTGCAACCTCCTCCCTTGCCCCCAACACATCCCTCCTTCTAACAAAGAAAAATTATTACACAGAATTAACCAATGCAATAGCGGATACAACATTGTGAACCCCTAACCCCCACTTCTCTATTAAAAGCAGAGAGGCACATTTCATCAACTGTTCTGAGGCCTGGACTGATTGCAATACCTGTTCAACTCTGGTTGAGTGATTTTTTTCATGCACATCAATGTAATTATTGTACATCCTGTTCTCCAGATTCTGCTCAGTTCATAGAACTCGCAACAGTTCATACTAGTATTCCCACATTTCTCTGAATTACTCATAGTCATTATTTCTTACAACAAAATTAGTATTCCATTACATTCATGTACCAAAACATACCCACCATTTCCAAGTGAATGGGCACTCACATAGCATTTTTTTGTTTTTTGCTACCACATAAAGGTTGCTATGAATATCCTGATATATATGGGACTTTTGTCTCCCTTTGACCTCCTTGGGATTTGTATGCAATAGTGATATCTCTAGGGTCAAAGGGTATATGAACGTCACTAGACTTTTCTAACATAATTCCAGATTGTTTTCCTGAACAGTTGGTCCAATGAATAGCTCTATCAACATCAGTGGGTTAGTGCAAGGCACAACTTTTTCAGGTCTCAGTTGGAAGACATTTCTAAACAACACAAGGGAGGGAGATACTGATCTCATCCTGAAGATTAGTGATTTACCTAGTGTCCAAAAGTACCCTTACTCGCCTTGAAGATGAATGGGTGGAGTGGGGCTTTCTCAGTCTCCACTAAGAAAAGAAATATATGTACTTTGCTAACAGATTTTATCCAACAGTATCCAAGTTTTGACTTGGAAACTGATAATTTTTCCAGGCCTGTTTTGGGGCTGGGAGTAGGAGAGAGGTTCTTTCCATTATCATCACATATCTAAGCTTGCATCAAAGCCACATGGAAAAATATAAATACTCTTTATCAAAACAACAACAACAACTTTTGTAGAACATAATGCAGGCGAACATAGTTAGCCCTAAGATCACGGGCTCATCAAGTAAGAGTAGAAAGGAACCCTGGAGGTCATCACATCTAAGAGGAAATTAAGGTGCATAGAGGGTAAGTGAATTGCCCAGGGTCACATGATGGGCAAACATTTAAGGAAGGATTTGAACTGGTCTTCCTGATTTCAAGACTATTACTGTTAC